GTTGGTGTGTTGGTGGTCCTTGTCGACTGGGGCTGGGCGCTCATGTATGTACCGGCTCACTCCTGGTGGCCGATTGGCGGGGCCTGGCGCCTGTGGCCCGGCTGGGCCCCTTCCGGGGGGTTGGATGCCCTTAGGCATCTGGCCTCTGGGCCTGAAGCTCGGTCCTCTCTAGCACAGCTGGCTGCCGGCAGAGCCCGCGGGCACGCCACTGCAACCCCCTCTGGCCTCTGCTCCGTAGCTGCTGGGTGACCTCTCGTTTGGGGCTCTACTCAGCTCTTCCCAGGATGGTAGCATGGTTCCCCCCCTTTTGGTGGTCCTCCTCGGGTCCTTGTACTCTGGGGCCTCTGGATATCTGGGGCATGGATCTCCTCCATACCTGCTTCATACCCAGTGGCTATGGCTCCCCACACTCCCTAGCAGATCGTTACATGGAGAAACCTTTAGAATACAAGCATGCTGATCCACACAGGTATGCACACAGGTGTACACACGGGTGTTCACAGACGCGGACTACACCTTTCTTGGTTTGTGCCTCAAAGCACATTGTGCGCTGTCTATCTTGCGTGCTGCACAATATCGTTTAATATTTAGTATCTACTGTTATCTACTGCTAGCTAGTTTATTGTGATGGTGCTGTTTTTATTATGGTGCTCTTTTTTTGTTTGCTTTCTCTTCTGTTTTTTTTCTCCATACAGGTGACCCAGGTGTTTTGTTTGTTTTTCTTTCTTTCTTCCCCCCTTTCTCACCATCTCTTCTCCCCTCTGGTTTTCTTTCTCTCTCTCTTTTTCTTTTATTCTTTCTCCCTGTCCTATCCCCCAGACATGTCTGTCCCGTTTGTAGCAACCGAAAATAAAATAAATTCATAATTATAATAAAGGTCAATCAAATGGACCAATATGGCAAGGCCATGATGACCCATTTGGTAAAATAAATCCTCTTGGCATCTTTCTTGGCCTTAAGACAACAATTCTGATGGCTAAAGATCCAAACAGGACACCAAAAAGAAAAAAAAAAAAAAGGTCATCTAATATTCTATATCTGCTACTGTCAAAATCCCCTTGGACGCTAGTAACTGTAGCTATGTTTCTGGTAGTTACTCCTCCAACCTGACATGGAGTTTTAACCCATTCCACCACATGGCCTAACATATTCTTTATTTCCCAGTGACAGTGAAGTCGTCCCAGCCAGTTTGCAGCCAAACAGGGCCACCCTGTTTCATAGCATGAAATGCTGGAATGCAGCATTTTCTTTTCTCCAAACACAATGCGTGTCATTTAAACCAAAAACTTCTATTTTGGTTTCATGCCCACACAAAACATTATTCTAACAGCCTTTTGGCTTTCTCCATATGATGTACGAACTGCAGACAGACAGGGAGCATTGTTTTTGCATTGTAGCCCTGCCATGCACACATTTGTTGTTTAGGGTTCTCCTGATGGTGGGCTGACAAACATGAAAATTAGCCAATGTAAGAAAGACCCTGAGACCTTTTCCAACCTTGTGAACATTAGCAATTCTTTTTCGAGGTCCTCATGAATATCATCCATCTTATTATTCACTGGCTCAGATGTGTGGGTTTGTTGCCTAAATAAAAGCAAGAGGGTGCCCACTGATACCTGGTTTTCATTCCATTGACTGAACACATGGTTCTGACTTCATCTTGAAAATAACTGGCAGTCTGAGAGGTGCAGATACATTTTTCCTTAATATTGGATATTTCTCTTAATTGAAAAATGGCTTAGTGTTATATTTTAGTCCCATTTCTTAATTGGATTATATTCATCTACTACTAAAACGACAAAGGAATGAAAAAAGAAATGTAGTTTAAATGTTTCTCAAACTTTCATGGACCACAACAGATTCCCCCAGAGGCCCATGATTCTTTGGAATATTGCTGGTGTGAAACATTATTTCAGAAAGTTCATTGCCGCTTGCTCTCCCTCGGGATAATATTTAAAAGTAATAACAAATTTATGACACTACTGACCTTCTGCTGATAGACTCTTTCCAGAAACAGTAACGTATTTTTAATGCTAAAAAAGAGTTACACCAACTAACTGGCAGACATTTTTATGTAAGTAGATGAATTTTCCAATGTCAGACATGTTTGCTTTATTTGTGCAGTGTAATTTTAGGGGTATGTAAATGTTACAGAGTAGATAGTAGTAGTGGTAGTAATAGTATTTACTATTTAGGATTCAGAGGTTGCCAAAAAAAGTGACACTCACTCTCTCCTAGACTGAAAGCAAATGAGGGGAAAAAAGAAGGAAATGCCTCAAGCTCTCAGGGCTACTTTATAAGTCCATATTTGGTAATATGACTGGTTTTTAATATTGACCTAGCTTTTAGGGTCCATATATTTTCCCTTTGCTGTCTCATGGCAGCTTGGAAACAAACATCTCTAAGTGACAGTTTTTCCCCGGTGTCCATAAAACCTTTAGCATGCATAAATGATGCTCAGATAAAGTATATTCGGCCAAATTTTGTCCAGCGAGGATATCTCACTCTGTTGATTTATGCAGTCCTTCCATTGGGACCTTGCACCCCCCTTAGCTCCAACCCTCTTCTGTGCGAACCGCTGCAGAAAAAAAGGGATTGCTCCTATTTATCAGTGTCACTTTCCCAAGACAAGTACTGTGAAAATTGATGCCTGCCTGTGAGCTCAGTCGCCAATCAGAACATATGCCTCAGAGGTTGATGGGTGAATTCTGTTGTTGCATCTCGATAAAATGCTTTGACAAGATTCATATATTAAAATCTCTATGCATTGGATGATTGTGAGAATCATCTATTATCTTTTTGGTTTGGTTTTGATTTTAGAACCATTACCCCTAAATCACTTAAACAGAAAACAGTCATTACTAAAATGTAATGCACTTCAGAATTTTGACTTAAGGATCAATATGATGTATCAAAACTGATGTTAGGTATTGCTCATAGTGATGAATTACCACCTCCCTCTGCAGCTCCCCTCTGCTTTATGGAGCTTTATAGTGCGTTCCAGGTCACTGTTTCGCTGTCTGGCTACAGATTTAGTGGTTTGATTCAATCTAACTACTCTCGCAGGATCATTTTGACCAAAGCAGGCAGCTGTTGAGCAAAAAACATCACTGTATACAGCACCAAATGGCAGACGGAGTGTTAGCCACAAGCTGGTAAACATAGTGTAACCTATTGCTTAGCAGCTGAAGAGCCAGATATTTCCATCAGTGAGCATTTTTTTTTTGTTTTTTTTGTAGAAACCTAATCAAAAAGAAAGTTGTGACTGGGATTGGCCAGAAGCACTGCACCAAATCAACAGTATTTTTTTATCTGTAGCTGCTGGATGTGTGAATAAGCAAGCCTTTTCTAATAAGCTTTACATATCAGCTTACAGGTAATAATGTGATGTAAAAGCTCATAAATGTAGTTGCAGGTGTTTTACAGAAATCATTCAAAAACTGTTAAGAATACTCAGATTTGGCAGCAACCCTCGCCATCTCTTTAGCCTTTTTACAGTGGATAACAATGGGTAAAGCTGTGGCAGCTTGAAACAAACCACATGAGGGGGAGATAACTTACGAGCCTCCAGCTGCACCTCTTTTCTCTCTTGTCAGCTACTTTAGAGAACACCTGCTTGGAATAAAATTATAAACAAATCATCCAGTAGATCAACATAAATGAAGAGCTCCACTCTTATACCATTTGTTTCCTTTTCTTTTTTGGTGTGTTCACTGAATTATTAATAGACTCTACCAATAGCAGTAAAATGGCTATCTATGAATGCTGTCCAAACATATTTTAATAACTTTCTGAACAAAGGGAATATAAAAAAAAGATCTGTTTGTGTTTTGATTGTAAATGTGAAAATTATAAATTTGCTCCACTTGGATCTGACCCAATCTGTAGCTGAGAGAGTTGTGATTGATTCTGTGCGATTCACAGGTGACAAGTTTTCCCCTGGTTCCAGTACAGTGCTACACTTCTGATGTAGACGGCAAAAGATTTGAAAGAGAGAACAGATTTGAGAGTTATCACAGTTAATCGGAAACAGATTGCATGCAAGTGCCAACTTGATGCTTACATGCAAGCTGATAGCGGGGTGACTCTGTGTTATTGCCATCTGTCCTTGTTTTAAGTCGGTTTGAAGATGGCAACTTGACTGCGAGTGGTCTCAGACCTGCTTCCTGTCTTTTAAGACATCGATTGCAAGTTGATCTCACATGGTCACAACTGAGGTTTTAGATGTATTCAGATACAATCACCATTTTTTTTTTTGAAAGACTTGATTAGTATATTCTCTTTTTGATGACCTTAAACTTTTAATATTTCTGAGATTATTTGGTGTTTTGTATTACAGGCCACTGATAAGGACACTGGGAATTACAGTGCCATGGCATACCGCCTCATCATCCCACCCACCCCAGAGGGCCAGGACAGTTTTGTCATTGAGACCTACACTGGTATCGTCAAGTCGGCCATCATGTTTCGGAACATGCGCAGATCCTACTTCAAGTTTGAGGTTATTGCTACTGATGACTATGGAAAAGGTCTTAGCAACCGCGCTGAAGTGGTGGTAAGTATCCATATGATGCTTTCCGTGTGATGCAGGGATGTAGAGATAAATATAGGATTCCCTGCTAATCTTTGACTTGCATGTCGCTGGCAAGGCAGAGGCTTATTGGTTGTGGGTTTTTTTGGCTTCCACAGCATCATATTTATGCAGCGAAGGCATCAACTGTCCAGAATTCATTTATACAGGAAAGCCTAGGTGAATGGCTGTGCCAAAGATTTTCCAGTGCATTGAGTAGTCACAAGGAAGTGCAGCACAGCCTTTAGCAAACTGTTGTGGAATTTCTTTGGGTTTTTTTTTTGTTGTTGTTGTTTTTTCTTTTTTCTTTTCAGAATTATTGTAATCTTCGATGTTGGTTTTGTGAGCTCAAATGTTTAACATTTTGACAAAGATCCATGTAGGCTTTGGGCAGGATTTCAATTAAAAAAAAAACTACTTTTGTCTGTGTATCATATGTAGCATATTAAACTACAACAAGCAAAAAGACTGTAAAAATCAGGACGAATTGGCTTTGAGGTTAGGCAAGCCACCTGCCACTATATCTCAGGCTTGTTAATCGAACACTTTCGAATTTATTTGTTGAATCTGTTTAAAAACCACAGTGTAAAAAGTTGCAGTTTGTTTTCCACAGTGGGTTATGTGCCAAACTGAAAATGCATGAGATTTGCAAGTTCATTAGAGGAAGGGATGAAAGAAAAATGATCTCTATTTTTAGGAGCAAGACCCATAAGAGCTACACAGATTTTAAACTTACGTCCTGGGACTATATCAAAGTACAATACTGGAGTATGCCTTGAGTGTGTACATATCATGGTCCAAATTAGACATTTAAGTAGGATTTCAGCATAATAAGGTTTTCATTTATCTGCCTGTTCTGTTTCTCATCTCTTTTGCATCACTGTATGAATCTCGGCATTGTTAATTACTTCACTGCATTAGAGGGTCTTCATTAAGACTACTTAAAGAGGTTGTATCAGATTAATAAGCGAGTCACATCTGTCATGCAGTATTTGAAGAAAGGGAAATCTTTCTAAAGAAAAAAGCAGGAGCGCTGTGTTTTGCAGGAGAACACTGATATTTTTTGAAAGGTGAAGAAAGATGACTGAACCATGAAAAGATTTGTGGGGGATTTAGAGCACTGACAAGTAGTGCTAAGAGCATATTAAGGAAAGTTGAGGTCAAATGAGTTATCAGTATTACAAGCGAGGGATCAAGTCCCAAAAAACTCTTGATACAGTATCGGACAGAGCCTAATGCCAAACCACCAAGGGAGGCACACAAAAGGAAAAAGAATCATTGCGTGGGCCTCCATCATCTCCTGACATCAGCCCAATTGAGAACCCGTGAAGAATACATAAAAGAAATTCTGGTAAATATGTGTTGCTGTAGGAGGTTGTAATGTCATCCTCAAATAAAAAGGTGCAGAAACATATTCAGTAAAAGAGTTTCTTTTGCGTTTTGTGATATTTGTAAAGTTTTATAGATAATTTTTTTCAGATGTGTTTTTTTTTCTGGTTTGATATGAGTGTGACCTGTTATTTGAGTTATTTGGAATGTTATACTTCTGTGTTGTTAATGTCCATGTCAGTATATAAATGTGTATAACCTGAGACAGTTTCTAAAAAAAAGATCTTGCGTTAAGAAACAACCTCAGAAATGATGTTAATACGTGAGAGCGAGTTTGATTTGTTTCGTGCAAAGCTTCTCTTCATAATACCTTGTGGTTTATGATCTTACATGATGATCCCTGCCTTTTGTTTTGTTTTGCTTTGTTTTTTTTTCTGTTGAGTATTAAATGTTTTGGTTCCAGTCTATTGAATTATTCACAAGAGGTACAACACACCCCGATATGTGGCCTCTGCCACTAGCTGATGATCCAATTAAAGTCTTTCTTTTATCCATGAGTATTAGCTCTGCAAACATTATGCACTTCTCCCTGCATGCGCGTTC